GCATCAGGACTTTACTTAACTTCCTGAGGTGATGCTGATGTGGAATCAAGATTGAGAGCCACTGCTCTTAACTCAGTGAGCAATCCCTGCCAGGATCCACTCTTCAATGGTTCCTTGTCTTCCATTCTGACTCATGAAATTATCCCCTTTCAGATGTTGTAGGATCACGTGATATTAGAGCCATCCAAGATCTGCAAGACCAGTTCATCTTGCCCTCGCTTTTGAAGTAGCTATGATGTGCCTGGATCTGGGTCACTCTTCTGCCTCTTACTTAAATGAGCTATGACAAGTCCCGATGTCTCTCCCAGCCTCTTTTATCTAAGATACTGGACATTTGAGAAATTCAGTGGCCATTATAAAGGCATCAGATTCAGTTTCAGGCATAGTTGGTTAGTAAATGATCCCTGTTTCTGTTTTTATAGATGGCAGTATACCCCAAAGGGGTAATTGTCTGGAGCTCTTTCTATTATCACTGATGCTGTCAGCAGTTTCTTGCTCAAGTGCTGATTTTTTGTTTTTTGGTGTTGTTGTTGTTGTTGTTGATGACAGAGTCTCCCTCTGTCATCCAGGCTGGAGTTCAGTGGTGTGATCTCAGCTCACTGCTGCCTCTGCCTCCCTGGTTCAAGCAACATTTGTGCCTCAGCCTCTCAAGTAGCTGGGATTACAGGCATGCACCACCACACCCATTCAAATTTTGTGTTTTTAGTAGAGACAGGATTTTGCCGTGTTGGCCAGGCTGGTCTCGAACTCCTGGCCTCAAGTGATCCACCCGCCTTGGCCTCACAAAGTGCTGGGATTACAGGTGTGAGCCACCGCACCTGGCCTGTTTCTGTTTTTTAATAGGACCAAGTGAAAACACATCATTTGAACTCTATCCATTGGTCATCTCTCATCCCCTTCTCCCATCACCAAACAAACACACATACCCACAAACTTGGTTCAAGAAGATTTATAATACAGGGGCAAACAGAAATGTTAATACTGCCTTGGGATTTCTAGGGCTGGGACTGCTCACTGACTCCAGCTCTGAAAATATTTCCACTTTGGAGTCCCAGACAATCTATCCACACTTTCTCTGTTATCTCCTCCATCGACAAAATGGAAAAATTCCACCAGAGATTAATTCTTGCCTGCATGGCACTTTAAAGATTAAAATGCACTACATTAAAAAAGCAAAGCATAAACCATAGGGAGGAGTAGACAAAATCACCAAGGGAAGAGGTAATAACAAGTGAATCAACCAGAAGGTAAGCCTTTACTAAAAATGAGTTACACAATTGCTATAAACTTAGATTTCCTGTCTTGATCCCTTGAGTATCTGTAGTTTGCCTGATTGAGACTTAACTGAAATCAAAATTCCAGGCAAAGCTGTTGTGCTTATATAAAAGGAAAAGCCTGGTTTTTTAAATTAAAAAATCCAAGATAAGTTAGTTCTTAGGTGAATATTGGGGTTCTCTCTCTCTCTCTCTCTCTCTCTCTCTCTCTCTTTCTGTGTGTGTGTGTGTGTGTGTGTATGTGTCTTTCTCTCATTTGTTGGGCCTTACATCCAAACATGTCACAGTTGATGGTGTCTTAAGTCATGGATGGATACAGCTAAATATCTACCCGTGAAAAGCTTTTTCTCTACTGCCAAAAATTCTAAAACACTATCAGGTACCAATATAGACTCTTGTCTATATTGGAATCACTGCATCTTTCCTGGAAGTCCTGCCCACCACAGGACCCAGAAGCTTTCCATGTATCTTTAAGCTGGAATGGACACGTGCCACCAGGTGACACTAAACTGTGGCCAGGATCAGGACGGAGGTAGATGGCACAGACCGCTGCAACTCCCAGATGGTTGGCTAGTTGGGCAACCTCATTCTAGTTATTTCATTAATCTTGCATATAACATCAGATTTTAAGCCAGTGAATTTTCTGGATTATGCTTTTCTTATTATGGAGAGAGTTTTACTCTACTTCTTCTTCTCAATTCTATACAGTATTATTTTTAAATTTGTATGTTTTAACCTTCAACCAAATTGCAAGTCCACTGAGAGGAAGAATCATACATTCTATGGCTCCTGCATACCTCAAGCCCAAAGCATCTAGTGTGGTATGGATAAAGGAGAGACACTCAACAGCTGCTGGTTTCGTTGCTTGTTGAAGCTTTAGTGCACTATGCAGTATCTCCACACAGATTTCTTTAACCGCCTGGAAACAAACCTGTCTGCCACAGATACTCCTCTCTGAAATACACCCCTGTATACACAGGAGGCTCTTGCAGTTAGCTCTATTATTGGCCAGACTTTCAGAATACAAGTAGTACATTCCTTTATCAGAGAAGTAAACAAAAGTACAAAATATCTTTGTGATTCAATTGCTTGGTTATAAATACAGGCATCAACTTTTTCTGATTTTCTGGTTTTCCACATAGCTACTTATGAAACCTCTATTTTTCCTGCCGATGCTAAGGTACTAGGGAAATAGAACGTCCCCCACAACACACCTCCCCAACACACACACTAGCAGTGTGTCCTTCTCAGGGGGAGCCACCAGCATAAAAGTCTGGAATGTGCTTGGCTTTGCACCCATCACAGCAAGGCATTAGAAATATTGGATTTAGTGTTGTGCGTCCACAGATATAAAATTAGGCCGACAGAAGTCTGGATCTGGGCCTCGCTCCATACTGCTAACTTGTAGAGCACCAGTAGCCAAAAGGGTTTGGAACGGTTGTCTCTCTACAGATGCTGCCATTCATTTCTGTGGGAACAAGACCACTTACATCTAATTACAGTTTCTGCTTAAATTAACAGGACAGATATGACAGCAAAAACTTCTTCAGACTAACTGGTGGGGAGACCTTTAGCTGACACAGCTTATGAAGTAGTTGGCTTGCAGCAAAGCAATGTCAATTTTTAAAAGTAATTTAGAATTCATATGATTCCACCCAGCAATTTGTGGCAGCAAAATACTTGGGGTGGGGAGGTGGGGCGGTAGGTGGGCAGGCAGGCACACACAACCTTTTAGAAAGAATAGACTATCTTACAGAGTAGATGATTTGAGAAAGATTGGGTTATTTTATACATTACCATTACACACTAATAAGTGGTGGAGCTGCCATTTGAACCCTGAGAGCCAAATGGCAGAGCTCTTGCTTTTAACCTTGACTGCCTCCAGGGATACCTCAACCCCTAATACATGTTGAAAATGCCACTAACAAACAATTAAAGGAGATTTTGTGCTTAATACTGGTTTGATGACAGTTTTACCAGCGTTCATTCTGGCCAGTCCACTTTATTCTATGGAATCCGAGGTGAACTGGATCCCTCAGGAACCTACAAATCCCTAGAATGGGTCACTGCATAACCCTCAGGACAGTCCTTATGAAAGCCTGCCTCCAGTCAGGAAATGGTGCCAGGACAACTTTGCAAAGTGATATCCCAAAAGACATGAAATTCAGGGTTCACAGAATTTGCCTCTGAACTGCTCTCTTATCAGTATTACACCTTGCTCCATCTTCCTTCTTTCAGTTTGCTAAACCTCTCTTATCCATCTACCTAACTTGTCCATCTGATAGCCCTTACCAGACTCCAGTTCTTGCATTCATGACCTGAGCTCTGACTACCATCTCTTTACTTTGATCAAACAACTGAGCAAATGACCACTTTGGCAGGGGGCAGTCTTAGCATAACAGATACCCACATACTGCCCTGTGGACAGCTCTCACCTGGAGCAGACCAACTCTGGAATCAGACATATGCTGGATTTGGGATGTCTGTTTCACTTGGTGCCTAGAGAAGGACAAGGAGGAACCCAGTCTTGTTATTTGTGAATGCAGCTAACAAAAATAAAGTTTGCAGCAGTCATTATAGAGTTTCCAGCATATTAGACAGGTATATTTTAGAAGCATAGATAACTGTATACAATGGAGATATACATATAAACATGTACATATGTGATACATTTTTATGAGAAACAAACCCCATTTAAAAGTTGTATTTTTAAATGAATCACTTAAAATTCTCTTAATCACTCATTCTAATTCCTAATTCAAGAGCAGGAAGTCTGCCTTTTTAAAGCATAGTTCTGGAGACTGAATCACAGAAGTCAGAGTTGTGAAGTGATAGCTTCTTGTCTACAGCTGACTGACCTTCATATTTTTCCTCCAAAGCAGAATAATATAACAAATTTACCCGAAAAAATTCTTACATTAGAAGTCAGCAAACCATGGCCCTTGGGCCAAAATCTAGCCCACTGTTTTTCTTTGTAAATGTTTTATTGGAACACAGCCATGCTCCTTTATTTATATATTGTCTACAGCTACTTTTGCACCACAGTGACTGAGTTGAGCAGTTGTGACAGAGACCTTATGGCCCACAAAACCTAATATATTTACTATCTGGCCTTTTAGAGAAAAAATTTGCTGACCTGTGTCCTAGATGAAAAATACAGGACACAGCTTGCAACATGGATTTTTATTATCAAAAAGAAGCTTCTTAGTAGGTCTACTCTAAGCCTAACAAAAACACTACACTTGATGTACAGAACTCAGGACACACTGTTCTAAACAGTTGATTTTTTATTCCTATACTTTAAAGTCAAATCATTGAAAACTCAACCTTGAACTCAGATACTAAGATATTTTTACCAGTTTACTACAAATCATTCATTCTTTATTCCCATAGTCTCAGACTAGAAAGATTAATATTTGCCTGGTTGATTTAAATAATAAAGAATAAGTGAAGAAAAGCAATTAACAGGTTAATATAAAATCTTGGCTAGGCGCAGTAGCTTGTAATCCAAGTACTTTGAGAGGGCGAGGTGGGAGGATCATTTGAGCCCAGGAATTCAAGATCAGCCTAAGCAACATGGTGAGGCCCAGTCTCTACGAAAAATAAAAAAAATTAGCCAGGCATGGTGGTACACACCTGTAGTCCCAGCTACTCAGGAGGCTGAGGTGGGAAGATTGCTTGAGCCTGGGAGGTCAATGCTGCAAGGAGCCCTGGCCGTGCCACTGCATTCCAGCCTGGATGACAGAGTGAGACTTCAACTTAAAAAAATATATAAATCTCCATTTCTTTGAAGGTGAAGATAAAAGAATTGGGGAAATAAATAGTGATAAAATTGATTCTTCCTTAGAGGAAAAAAAATACTGCTTTGGACTACTTTAAATAATTGCTCATTTAAATAGCATTTGGCTATGTGATAATGAGACAGGTTAATGTTTTCCAATCCATTCCAATCTCTCCTAGACACAAAATAATTTCAAAACATTTTCAGTAAACAAAATGAAACACAGCTTTACCTATGAACTTAAAGAAGGTAACAAGGGGGACTTCTTGAGGTTGAAGCACACTGGGGTTGAAGAAGCAGAGCTTGGGAATTACAAAAGCATGTGCTGGACTCATGGCCATGAATAAAACCATCTCTGAAACTTTGGGCACATACATAAAAATCTGTCACCTTTTGAGTCCAATTCACATTTGTTATTTTAACAAAATGTTTCTGTTTTTATTAATGCTAGACCATTGTTTGGACTACTTCTTTGTGTGGGGGAGGAGAAAAAAATGGTCAGCATCTCAGATATATAACTGACATGCTACCTGACATTCATTGCTTCAAAGTACAGGTGGAAAAGGATTTGGGCTAATTGCAAGCAGTTACTCTCATCTCATCTCCACTGCTGTCTTGCTGTGTTATCTTGGACAAGCCATTTGCCTATTCTGTGCCTCAGGTTCCTCATCTGAAAAAAAGGAGATCATGAAAACGGCCACAACCTACCATCATGTAAAGCTGCAACAAGAAAATGAGATAGAGAATAAATTAAAGGTTTAATTAAAATTAGAATTTTTCTTTCAGGAGTATGTTACTTGTATTTGCAACTCAATTTAAACATAACTGAAGCATTTTCTTACCTCTAGTTGTGCTAGCAGTCTAAATAGAGAAAACCCTCATTAGTTCGAATATACCAAGATTGGCAATGAGGTCCTGTCTTCCCCCAGCCCTCATGCTCAGATGGGCCTGGGCAAAGTTCTTATCTTCCCTAGGAAAAGGGTGAGGCCTCAGGGAAAACTCTGGGAAGCAGGGACATAAAGAGTGGGACCCCACCTTCCAGGAGCCTCCCAGGCCAATCTCGAAACCGGCCAAAGAAAGGAGAGGTAATTATCTGGGAGAATTTTGGAACTGCTGTCATTGTCCTGTCAGTCCTACACAGTCACCAGACCTAAAATTATTCCTATTGATAACATAAGTCAGAGTGAAAAAATCACCACGGGTGGTGCCAACCAAAGTTGGCAAAGGGATGGATGTGGATGGTTCATTTTTAGTACTCAGCAGCTAGTCGAACAAGCTTGCTCTGGCCATTTTCTTGTAACCCTGTGACCCATATTTTAGCCAATTTACTTTTTTCAGCCCCCACTTGTCACATTATGATGGGTAATGATGACAAAAGAAAGGCTTAAAATGGGGTGAAAGCCAGGGATCACTGTCTCTCTCCCTTAAGTATTTGTTGGCGAAGAAATGAAAGAATCTAGTATTTTCACTTTACTATTAAAGCTTTGATACAGGGCTTGTTACCACACAGCAGAGTCTTGAATTCATTATTAAATGAAGAGGGAAATCTTACTTAGTCCTGGACTTATCTCATAGAATCTTAGAGTTGAGTAACATTCAGAAACTGCCTTTGAATTTGTAGGTCTTGAATTTCTCTTTGTCTTATCAATTAGAACCTGAGAAATAATCTTTTAGGACTCAAGAATAATAATAAAGTAAGAAAAGTGTTTTTCCTATGCCTCCCTAATGTGACTAGTCGGATGTTAATATCAGAGGGGTGATCATATGCAAAACAAGAAAATATACATTATTAGCTATTGCTAAAAAGTGCCATTTTACACAGATCTCTAGCACATTCTGAAAGCTGAAACTGACACAGAGCCCTACTTAGAGAATATGACCAGCAGTCCTTCAGATAGCCACTCCAGTGAGTAAAGTGATAGAAATGGAAATTTTAGCCTTTAGCACACTGGTACTATCCTCCTTGAGGCCACCAATATGCGTTATGATCAAAGGAAAGGCAATTTAAATTTGTTGGGCTGAATTCTTTTTCCCAGCCTATGGGCAAACCTGTTTTATTTGCTTGACCCTCTCTACTCCTAAAACTATTTATGGTCAGATATTACCAAACGTGTGAAGAGCCACAGAACAAAATTACATTTCTTTTAACCAAGGGTAGGGGAAAGAAGTTAATTTCATGCTATTTCTTGAGGTCAGATAACAAAATGCACATTTACCCAGGAAGAGAAATGATAGGCTTTTCTTCCCAAAATTGTGAGTCCTGAAAGTAAAAGCAGCTGAACCCAGGAAGTTGATGAAACTACACTTTGAGAGAACAGCTCCTCAGATGGAGAATCCTATGGCAGCCATTAAGTTTGTGCCATTAAGAGGGAAACAGACAACTGAGATGAGTACCAAGTACTTTTGGGACATGGAGGAATTAATCCATGAACTTCAGAGCTGGTAGAGAGACCTGAGGGATCGTGGAGTCAAACCCCTTTTTACAATTGTGGGAACAAAGGTCCGGAGAGCTGCCTTGCCCATTATACACAGCAAGCTGGTAGGAAGGCAGGACTAGAACACATGGCTCTGCACACAGGTCAGTCTTCTTTCTATCAAGTTACATTGTCTCTAGTTCAGGAAGGTTAAAGTGACTTTAAAAATAAAGGAAATGCTTTCTACTTATATAACATTCTGATCAGAAATTAAACTCAACTAGGCAGGCTGTCCTAGCCTCTGTTCTTTACATGTCTAAACCTTGGAACTGAATCAAAATTATCACTCTATTGGTGGGAATGTAAACTGCTAAAGCCATCATGGAAAACTGTATAGATATTCCTCAAAAAAATTAAAAATAAAATAATCATGCAATCCAGCATTTACCCAAAAGATTTTAAATCAGTATGTGGAAGAGATGCTTGCATCCCATAGTCACTGTAGCACTACTCACAATAGCCACGTTATGGAATCAACCTAAGTGTCTGTCAACAGATGAATGGATAAAGAAAATGTAGCATATACAGACCATGCAATGCTATTCAGCCTTTAAAAAGAGAAATGTTATCATTTGCAACAAAATAGATGAAATTGGAGAACATTATGCTAAATGAAAAGAGCCAGGCACAGAAAGCTAAATGCCACATGTTCTCACTTACACATGGAGTCTAAAACAATCAAACTCATAGAAGCAGAGAGTAGAATGGTGGTTACCAGGGGTGATGGGATGGGGGAAATGTGGAGCTAATGGTCAAAGGGCACAAAGCCTCAGTTAGATATGATGAATAAGTTATTTTCTTTTGAGAGCTATTGCACAGTGTGGTGAATTTCAAAATTGCTCAGAGTAAATTTCAAATGTTCTCATCACAAAAATAATAAGTATTTGAAGTGCTGGATATGTTACTTAGCTTCGCTTAATGATTCCACATTGTATTCATAAATCACGACATTACTTTGTACCGCATACATACAACTATAAATTAGATCCATTTATAATAAAAATAAATTAACTAACTTAAAAAAACATTTTCTTTTTTGAAACAGAGTCTCGCTCTGTCCCTCCCAGTTCAAGCAGTTCTCCTGCCTCAGCCTCCCAAGTAGTTGGGATTACAGGTGCGTGCCACCATGCCCAGCTAATTTTTGTATTTTTAGCAGACACAGGGTTTCACCATGTTGGCCAGACTGGTCTCAAACTCCTGACCTCTGGTGATCCACCTGCCTCAGTCTCTCAAAGTGCTGGGATTACAGGCGTGAGCAACCATGCCTGGCCTAAAAAAACAATTTATGACTCTAATCAAACCCATGCTTTGTCACAGCCAACTATCCAGGTAAACAGGACCCACAACTTCTTACTTCTCTGGCATCCCAATCATCCTCCCACTCCTCAGTGGATTCATTTGTGAACTACAGAATTCCAGACAATGCCTCACTTTTTCCTCCTAATCCTGTCTTCCTCTCCCACTACTACCAACCAGGATGCAAGTTTTGCCCTGGGATTTACTAGATTAAAAGAATTGAGGCATACTCTAAGAAAAGACACAGTTTGCAAATTCAAGTAGTTTACAACTTTTTATCAATATAGTAGACAGCAACCAATGCATTTCAAATAAAGCTCAATTCCCCAAGGGGGTGACTACAACGAAGGTACCTGAGAGAATACCCTGAAGATCATCATCTCTACTTCTAAAGAACCAAGAGAAAACACAGGTGGCCACAGCTTCTAGATCAGTGGTTCTCAACCTTTAATAAGCATCAGCATCACCTGGAGGTTTGCTGAACACAGCTGAGCCTCACCCTCAGTGTTTGTAATTCAAGAGATCTGGGGGTGGGGCCAGTGATTTATTTGTATTTCTAACACATTATCTTGATGTTGGTGCTGATGTTGATGCTGATACTGCTGGCCTGGGCATCATACTTTGAGAATCACTGCTGTTTCAGATCAACACTAGGAAAGCCTTCGAATGGGAAAATATAAACTCCTGTTTCCTCCTGAATCATATTTACGTGTCAGATTCCATCATATAATATTGATGAACAACCTCAAATCCTAACAATAAAGCTCTTGCTTGAAGTTTGCTTTGTATTAAAGCCTTGGTAGACTCTCACATCCCCAGGGAGTTATATATCAAGAATGGGGTCCTTTAATGGCTGAGAGACAGGTAGACTACAGCTAAGATGTTGATTCTAAGAGGAAACTCTAGTCTGACATCCTCAAAATCTACACAGCTCCCTGTCTGATTATCACAAGCTAGAGTGACTTAATCTAGAGCCCTACCTAAAGTCAGATCAACAAAACCCAGTAGCCCATACAAATCTGATGCCAGATTCTGGGGCAGAGCATCCAATGGATGATGTTCCCAGAGGCTGGTGTCAAGGACCCTTGAGCTGTGACCTCAGGCAGGCTAGACGATGATCTCAGTAATTCTGTTCTGAAATGATGCACAGACCAGGAGCTGATGCCGTAAAAATATCCCCAAACAATCCAGGCTTTTTTCATGTGCTTCTGAAGAACTTTTAACAGTTCTTCCCTGTCGGATGGGCCAATGAAGGGGGAGAAAAATCCCTTGCACAGCATGCTATGGTTGACAGAGTAATTTTCACATGTATTCTCATTCAATTCTTATGATTCTGTGAGTGTTAGTGTTAGTATCATTCCCATTTTACGGATGAGGAAATAGAAATCCAATAAAGTTTGCCCAAGGTCAAAGATCCGAGATTCAAACCCAGGCCGCACAAGCTCGATGCATGATGCCACACTGCCTCTCAGAGGCCGAGGAACAGATGTACAACAGCAGCCCTGAGAAATGGTTCTGAACAAGTCAGGAGAGCAACCAACAAAACTCATTAAAATTCTTCACGCCAAGCAAAGTAACAAGACAATAGGGCCAGGGGCAAGCTGTTTGGCCAGCAAATGATGGAGAAGTAAACAAAAACAAGATATAACTGGAATGCTTTTTAAAAAAAAAAAAAAAAAGACAGATGTTTACATAGTCATTTCACAATAATAGATTGAGACTTATTTCTCTGAGAGCACACTTAAAGGTTCTTACATAAACTATCCCGAGAGATCCGTAAGCAGAATGCTCACCACTCTCCCAGAGACATACTTTAATTCTCCATTTTGCTAAAATTTTTTAGAGTTATCCAGGAAGAACAAGTGCTGTAGGAACTAAAACTGCTATAGTTGAAGGTGGTCAGTTTCCAGTGCTGGAAACTCAAAGAATAATTAAAAGAATACTTATTGAGACAGATTTAAATATGTATTCATGGCTGGGAGCAGTGGGTCACTCCTGTAATCCCAGCACTTTGGGAGGCCGAAGGAGGCAGATCACCTGAGGTCAGGAGTTTGAGACCAGCCTGGCCAACCTGGAAACCTCATCTCTACCAAAAATACAAAAATTAGCTGGGCATGGTGGCGAGTGCCTGTAATCCCAGCTATTCGGGAGGCTGAGGCAGGACAATCACTTGAACCCAGGAGGTGGATGTTGCAGTGAACCGAGATCACACTACTGCACTCCAGCCTGGGTGACAGAATGAGACTCCCTCTCAAAAAAGAAAAAAAAATGTATTCATGAAGATGCACTTTTCTCATAAGCTCATTCTCCTCCTTGCTTCTTATCACTATTATGTCCTGAGTCGAGCCAGCCCTAGGCAAAACTGACAAACAAAAGTTTATTTTCAGCACTACCTCTCTTCCTAATCTCCACTCTCCCATCTCTTATGAAAATCCCAGGTACTTCTTCCTACCTCCTTTTGGCTAAAGACTCAGTTTTCTTTCCTTCCCAGTCAAAATCTGCCCTCCAGGAAGAATATGATGTTTTTCACACTCTAGACCAATGGGTCCCAACTTTGGCTGCATATTAAAAATCACCTAAAAACAACAACAACAACAATTTGTTGTTGTTCTCCACCCTAAACTAGTTAAATCAGAATCTCTGACAGTGAAGCTCTAGCATTGGTATTTAAAAACTAACAAACAAAAAAACAACTCCTCTCTTCCAAGTGATTCTAACATGCGGCCAGGGTTGGAAATCACTATACATACATTGATAAGAAGGCTTATTATATTACTCTTTCCCAAAATATTTGTATTTTATATCATAACAAAGTCTTAGTAGTGGGACATTTAGGCAAGCTACATGATCAATGAAGAAAAGAGGAAGAGTTAGAGAAGAGAAGACTCCTTTGTTGAAATTACTCCCTGCAGGCCGGGTGTGGTGGCTCACGCCTGTAATCCCAGCACTTTGGGAGGCCAAGGCGGGCAGATCACAAGGTCAGGAGATCGAGACGATCCTGGCTAACACGGTGAAACCCCGTCTCTACTAAACAAAATACAAAAATCAACCGGGCATGGTGGCGGGCGTCTGTAGTCCCAGCTACTCGGGAAGCTGAGGCAGGAGAATGGTGTGAACCCAGGAGGTGGAACTTGCAGTGAGCCGAGATTGCGCCACTGCACTCCAGCCTGGGCGATAGAGCAAGACTCTATCTCAAAAAAAAAAAAAAGAGAAAGAAAAAAAAGAAATTACTCCCTGCAGAGGTGGATGTCATCTTAATTAGTGAGCTTCATGAGTTCAGCAATGAGGTCATTCAGACACCTGCATTTGGTTTAGAATCATTCTGTCTCATGGTTTCCCTCTCAGACACACCATCCTTTGACTGGTGTTCATGTTGGTGGCAAATAGACCGTTCAGTTATTTCTTTTTTCTCTCCATGATGGCAGGCTGTTTTCCTTCTTAGGTCTGACCAAATCCCTGTCTATAACTTTTAGCATTCAGCTAAGGGAGTAAAGTGCCCTGATTTATTTAACATAGTAAATGCTTTGGAGATGGTTCCCAGGTCATTCTCTAGAAGAGATGATCTGAGATGGCTGTCCTTTTCTTGACAAGCCTCATAGGATAGCAATTTGTTAGGATCACTGAGAAAGCAAGGTGTGGTTCTCAGTTTTGCAGGCTCTGAACCAGAGTTTTACTATTGCACCAGAGGGTGATCAGGCCCTCGTGAGCTGGCTCATACCAATATACCACATAAGTCATAACCCTGCTGTACTCCCTTTTACTGAGATCTCTGACTGTCAAACGGACTACTCCTCTTGGTCAGCCTAACAAAGTCAGGAGCTTACAAAGTCAGGAGCTCTCTTTGTGAGAATAAGGATGGAGCAAAGGTACATTTAAAAAAGTGCCTCCACAAAATCTTCCAGAGGTCCCATCTAGAACTTCTAGAAAACCAGAGAGTCCAACATTTTAGCCGTACTCACTGCACTCCTTTCTTCTTGCCTTTGAAACAGAGGCCTGCTTACTGAGAGTTAGGCTTCGAGAGTGGCAGAAAGAGCAATCCAAGAGGATACCTTTGTTGAAAGGAAATTGCCAAAAAGAGTCAGTTATTCCAGGTCTAATGCAGTCTCTTCAACCAGACCAGTGGTTCTTAAACTCTTCTGCACATTAGAATCACCTGGGAGCTTTCAAGAATCCTGATACCTGGGCCACGCCCCCAATCAATTGGATCAGAATCCCCAGAGATGGGAGCCCGTGGCATCAATATCTTAGGGATGCTAAAAATACTACAGAAATGTGTTGACAATGAACTCAGATTATGGTTTTTGCGGATTTTTTAAACTACCACAGGTGATTCCCAAAAAAAGCTAAATTTGTGAAACCACTGAATTATGTCTGTGCAAATGATTTGCATAGCCCCAGTCAGATTCCCCTCTCCCCCAGACAAGGCTGGAAATAAATCCTTACTGTCTTTTTCTATCTGCCATCCTACTTAGGGGGTTTCAAGGTAAGGAAGGTTTATATTTATATTTATATGCCAGACACAGAAGAGGCCTCTATGTACTTTGTCTCCTTAGTTCTGGACACAGTCTTCTCATCCCGATTCATAGGACTGAGTTACTTTAAAGTACATGTGTCAACCACAACCCTCCAGTTCTCCTTAATCAGAAACTCTGAGATTGGGTGCCGGGAATCTGAAGATTTTTTAAATTCCCCAAATGAGCTGATTCAAAACTAGGGCTGAGAATCTCTGAGCCAAGTAGATCACCTGGCATTTGAGACATTTTTTGGCACTTGTCATAATATCATTTTTTATTCAAGGCCAGATTATAGGGTGGTTCAATCAGACAAATGCCTGTGGCACTTATATATTAGAAATGCTAAAAAAAAAAACACACACACAAAAAACAAAACAAAACAAAAACATGGAAATATGTTGCCAGTGAACTCAGTTCTTTATGCATCCTAACACAAAGGACAAAATATAGCATGGTCCCATTTCTACTAAAGTAGATCACCTTTCAGAAGAGATTAAAATGGAGAAAGGAAAAGAAAGGAAAACAGGCCAGGCATGGTGGCTCACGCCTGTAATCCGAGCACTTTGGGAGGCCAAGATGGGTGGATCACGAGGTCAGGAGATCGAGACCATCCTGGCTAACATGGTGAAACCCCGTCTCTACTAAAAATACCAAAAAATTAGCCAGGCGAGGTGGCAGGCACCTGTAGTCCCAGCTACTCGGTAGGCTGAGGCAGGAGAATGGCGTGAACCTGGGAGGCAGAGCTTGCAGTGAGCTGAGATAGTGCCACTGCACTCCAGCCCGGGCAACAGAGTAAGACTCCTTCTCAAGAAAGAAAAAAAAAAAAAGCAAGACAAAACATCTTGCTAGTATTGATCACTTCTCACTAAATAAATGTTGAACCATGATTTTCAAGATACTTGGTGCTTACATATCTCAATCCAGCCCTAATACCATGTCTGATTTTCAATGATGCTATTTGGACTGGTTGTTTTGAGGGAGACCATACAATAAAATAACAAAGCCAATAGCACTGCCATTTATTGAGCACTTGCTATGCACCTGGTGGTAGATGCTTACTGTAACTTCTTACTTACCATAGCTTCTTTAATAGAGGGGAAGCGTTCATCACTCATTCATTCAAGTATTGACTGCCTCCTATAGAAAAAGGCAGTAGAATGTTTAATATTGCCAAGTACCTAAGCTTTGGAATAAGACAGCATGGGTTTGAGTGCCCACCCTGTGAGCTCTTGGTTGTTACCTCTTCTGTAAAATATAGATAGCAATAAGATGACCATAAATGAGTAATTCATTAAAGCACTGAATGCAATGTCTGGTAACTATTCAGTAAAAGTAATAGCATCAGAGATGGTCATTGCTCCTATGTGTACTATGTGCTAGACACATGCTGGGTGGTGGGTACCCTTATCTCATGAGCAAATTCAACCATCCGTTTGTTTATTCATCTATTTTAGTAAGTCATTCAGTCAACAAACCATTTTTTAATGCTGTGCTAGACTGTGAGAGCTCACAGGTAAGGAGGAGACAGACAGTAAACAAATCATGGAAACCAGAGGTGATGAGAGCTGTGTGGAGGGGTGTGTGTGTGTGTGTGTGTGTGTGTGTGTGTGTGTGTAGTGCCCTGGCAGTGGAGAGGAAGGGGCCAGGACCTTGGGGAGGGGGTAGTAGCCAAAAGCTTCATGGAGACACTTGAGCAGTTTCTGGAAGGAAGAGCTGCAGTGTGAGACCTGAGGGTGGGAAGTAGGTAGGAGAAGAGCATTCTAGGCAAAGGAAAAACCATGCAACAGTGTAGGTTTCTAGGATGATGGCCATCGCTGGCTGGAGAGAAAGGGCCTTGACTTTTCTCTGGATTTGGCAGTCTAAGGGGTTGGGATTTGATTTTTGAGCTGTAGATTTAGATCCAACTACTATACTCCTCTATATCCAATCTTCATTAAGATTTAATGAATTACCTATGTTGTCATTATGAATTAATTAAGCAAAGCTGAGGCAAGCAGTGTTTTCACTGTAGCAATCACCCAGTCATTTACTGGCACAAAACTATAAGTACAAATGCAAAAACAAAATTTGGTTTGAAGAACATTTTGCGATGAATATATCAATAACATTTTCTTACTATCACTTGGATTTATTAGCTTTTAAATATCAAATGCATGATACTACAGCAAAACGGGCTTTTGAAATGTTAACAGAAAGAGGTATTATCAACATGCACTTATTAGGTTAGAGTATATTCTAAACACAAAGGATCCCATCACTGGGGTTTTAATAGAAAGCTCTGCTGACGCAGCTTACAAAACACAGACCAAACCTGTAGCAGGTTGTGTCACTCACGTCAACTCCAGAGGAACCCATTTTGAATGCTTCTACACACTCCTAGCAGCCAGGACGTCTCCTGGGAAGTACATTTTAGCCCTGAAATCTAAATATTTGCAACAAAATATAAGAAAAATAAATAGAAGACGATTCACAATAGTGACTGTTGGGAATGAAGGTAATGTTTATTTTCTTTTCATACTTTTCTGTATTTTTCAAATTTTTCTGTAATGAATGCATTTAACTTCTTAAACATTTTCCAAAAACTGCATAATTTAAAACATCATGAGAATACAGGAAAGACACTGTATCACTTGGGCTTCACATGTAGTCTATTTCGCTTTGTCAAATGGAACTGTGACAAAGACATTGAACGCAGAGCTTAAGTGCCTCAAAAAAAAAAAAAAAATCACTCCTGTTAATTGCTGTAAAATTTGTCTGTTAACTTTCATTCCTGTATATTTTCCTTTCTTAATGATATCTTGTTTTGGAGTTTATGATTTAACTAATTTTATTTTAATGTGTGATCAAATTATTGTCACAGCTGATAAAACAATTGTAATATAATGGCTTAACATTGATCTATTCCTTAGAAAAGCTTTGCTAGAAACCTAATAGGAGCAAGAGACTTGGAGGTAATTCATTAAAATTTCTCCAAAGAACTTATAACAAACAAACCACATGAAGTCAATAATGACAACATTTTAATCATTTATAAATACCAATAGCTAATATCATAGTTTGATAATCAAATCAGGATTAATATAATCTTATAGACTGCTTCTTTTCTCAAGAAATTAAATTATACAGAAAAAAGTCATCTCCTAGTCATACTCTTACACAGCAAGAAATATTTTAATTGTAAATGTGCCTTTTAGAACCTTTAAATTTCAAAAAGATGAGGAGGAGGACAGATCCTGTGTACTTACTAATCTGTAAATAGAGTACCAGGCCAAGAATCAATTCTGAAATGCGGCATCAATTGCACAGGCTTCCACTTAGTTTTAGTTGAATAAAAGCCCTACTAGATACGCAAATAACATCAAACTTGCCGGATTAAAGAGCGGCCCCTCATACTCTAAATCATGATTGTCAATCATCACCCAGGATTAAGGGATATATTTTTAAAACCTAAAAGCAAGCGCTTCCTTTTAACTTCTGCCTACTGCACATTTTGGATTATCGCCCAGAAATAGTATTACTTGAAACAAGACTGCCTCCCTCCTACCATCTATGAGAAGTGCATTGTTACCATCTGCTGTTGTCTATTTGGAATAAAACTCAGCAAGGCATGCAGCTTAATGTTCAGAGCCCTTCAGCAGACTATGCTTGTGTTTAGAACGCAGCTTCACATTTAAATGGAGCCGATTTTCGGTTTAGTCAGTGTTTTCTCAACATTGCTATCCTCCCCACCAGAAAGAAGCAAATTAGTCTAAGAACTAAGACGACCACAACATATTTACATTGTAAAGTGGAAACTTCCTTTAAACCCTGCAGTGACCAGTGAAGCTTTACTTGTAAACTCTCCAGGTTTATTCAGGTGAATAATTTCCCCATTTTGTATTTTCTCATTAGCATTACCCTCTCCAGGCATCCATATTACTTTCACTATTAGGAAATATTCTTTTAAAAAGCATGTGTTCTTAGCAAATAAAACTCAAAAGACGTAATCATCAAAGGGCCTTGAAATAGTTGAGGCCCTTGTAGGCCAATAGTTAAGTGCAAATAATATCTCTAAAGTATCCACAACAAACCGATAACAGGTTTATTCATCTAGAGGTAGAAGGAGACTGAAAGTTTGGAGGGGGAAAGACATTTTACTTGTCTATTATTTTCTTGTGCTTTTTATTAACATGTAAATGTATTAATATTTTAAATGTATTAAATATTTTTTAGTCATAACCAATAAGAATATTTAAAATTGTGAAAAAGAAAGAAAATATATACTGGTTCTTTAAATTAAAAAAAAAATCACATTCCAGGACTAATCTTATCAAGAAATAACCTTTTAATAAGATTATTAAAACAAAGTATTAATTTCTGAAAAGTTCAGCATTCTATTAAAATACTAACAAAACACTGAATTACAACCCAACAGTTTGCTTCATTGAATTCATTCATCTGCTCCTGGCAAAGACATTCCAAATTTGAACTTAATTAATATTCCTTCTCCTGGTTTCCATAGTTTCTTTTTAAATATGAGTACCAGCAGAAACTGGTGGCAACTTTACCCATATTCTCAATAATAACCCCCTCTGGCTGTCAATACGTACGAAAAGGAAAATTTTTTCCATACCCAGAAGAGCCGCCATTTTCATGTCTTTTGTTTGAAAATATGCTGGTAACATTTCTTTCTCTGTTATTTCACATATGCAGTTTGACATACTTAATTCTTTCCCTGCCTGTGGTTCACTCAATGCTCAGCTGAACAATAAATACTTAAGAGTAGTGTGGCAATTCCTGGATCTGAACAATACCCTCCCATTCTACCTCTCCATACCCTCAAATCTGCAGTGGTCTACAAAACTGGGGCCTGATAATTAAATGTCCTGGTTGGAATCAATATTATGGCTTGAAAGTTTGTTGGGTATGAAACACTTCTTTGTTTCTATTCTAACATCCGAATGAAGATTTTGACCACAGTAAACAAAGGAATTTGTAAGAATAGCTGTATGAGTAAATGACAGGTGGATTCACTAAAGTGATTGGTTTAGGCACCACTAAAACACTGTATTCCATACATTTTCTCTAATGCTAGGTATTTTCTCCTAGCCCAGAGTGGATAGTCAGTCTCAGACCTGATCTTGGGCTTCCTCTCTGTGCCTCTCCTCCTCTCGTTATCCCTGCATGTCCCAGCCTGGCTGATTGCTTTTGTGAATCACTATGCTGGAGGGCTGTAGCAGCATACTAAGCATTTCTGTATCCACTTCATTTTAGTCTAGAATGTCCACGTCTTTCTGCCATGATGCTGTTGCTCTTATTTTTCATCTAGCTTTCCCAACTCTGTGCCTTGGCACATTTCACACTGCCGATGCAAAATATTTCTGCCAAGTAAATGTGTCTGTTGTGGGTTACAAGAAGGTTTACAGCCTTGATCTGGCATGAGCTCCATTTCCTCTGGTTTGCACAAATCAGGTCTGGACCATACATCACATCAGCTCTTGTGGCCCCTGCTTGTGCTGCTCTTAGCATTCACTCCTCACTGGCCATCAGTGTCAAAAGTACATATGTAGACCCCACCCAAGAGGCCACAAGGTCAGTGACCTCTGGTTACTTCTCTTTGGTCTTGTTGACAACCACGGCTATAAGAAGAAGTAACCACACAAGGCAGTCTGTTCTCATGGCCAGTATTGACCTTGTCTTATCCATTGCTACTCTATGAAACTCACTGATCCCTTTTCCTCTGAAAGGTTTTCAGTGAAAAAAATAAACTTGCAAGCAAAGGTCAGTTAGAAAGACAACATGCCAGGAAACAATAGACTACTTTTTTCTCATTGTATATTTCTATATGTCAAAGGACAAAATGCTTGTTTTTAATATGAAAAAGATGGGGCTTGCATTGAAACAACTGTTTCCCAAAAATCCTAAGAATAAACCCAAATGGAATTTTTTATTTATTAATTTAATTTTTTTTTTTTTGAGACAGAGTCTCGCTTACTCTGTCACCCAGGCTGGAGTGCAGCAGTGTGATTCCCGCTCGCTGCAACCTCCACCTCCTGAGTTCAAGCCATTCTCCTGCCTCAGCCTCCTGAGCCGCTGGGACTACAGGTGTGTGCACTACAGTGCTGGCTAATTTTTGTATTTTTAGTAGAGACAGGGTTTCACCATGTTGGCCAGGCTGGTTTCGAACTCCTGACCTCAGGTGATCCACCTACTTCAGCCTCCCAAAATGCTGGAATTACAGGTGTGAGCCACCGTACCCAGCCCCAAAGAGAATCTAAATTCAAATAAATTTAAAATGTGCTTACCTTAAATTTAAAAAAACTAAACAATATCACTAAAGAACATAAAACCAGATGAAAAGATATACTATGTTTTATGATAGAAATAACTTAATATTATAAAAATACCAATCTCCTCCAAATGAATATACCAATGTAGTTTCAATTAGAATGTTAACCAACATGGCAGACATGCATACTGTGCATATCTCCTCTGCTTGCTTACATGCTCCATTGTGCCATCAGACTTCATTTAGCAGAACACAATTTCAAAGATAAAATTATCAAGAATTTCAAGACGATGACAGCAGGGCATTAAACGAAGTATAGACTCCTCTGGAGGCTAGTAAGCCCTGGGCAACTGCACAGGTCACACAAGTATAAGGCTTACCCTGCCATTCTGGTCACCATATTTAAAATTGAAACTCTTTCTCATCAACTCCTTTTTTTTTGCTGTACCTTGATCTATTTTCCCCTCCCAAAACACTTATCACTTTCTAACGTATTGTAGAATTGGTTTATTAATTATGTTGATTGTCTGCTTTCAGCTGCTGGGATGTAAGCTCAGCAATGTCTGGAGCCTCGTTCACTGATGTACCTCACATGCCTAGGAGAGTGCACAGTAAGTGCTCAATAAATATTTACTGACTTGAACAAATGATAAGATAAACCCTTGAGTGCTAATTGGGCATCTATGCTAGGATAATAAGACCCTGTGAGGCAGAGTCTTGTGGTAATACTTAACTGGAAATGTGTGCATTGACTTCTGAACTTTTCGCACCCTTCCATGGAGAGCAAAGGAGACATTGGGGGCTCTACACACACACACACACACACACACACACACACACACACACACACACACACACACGTTTCGTTGCTCATTTGCTGGTTTGTCAGGTAACTGAGTAAAAGCAACCTTATACTAGGGCCAAGTTGTCGTTATTGCTCATCTTTAAACCTGTACCAAGCTTGAGGGTCTGGCAAACTAATAAAGCAAACTTCAGATCAGGCTCTGGGGCTAGCCTAGTCCAACATTCAGGCAACATTATTACCTACTAGCCCATTAATTCTTACCCACTAGCTCAGAAAGGAGCTTACTCTCTAAGTAAGGAAAGGCTTACTCCCTAAACTCTACATGTTTGTGCAGGTGTTTCTAACCTCTGCTCATGCTATGAAGGGCCACATTGGTATTAAACATGCTGCATATTTAAGCATGAAAAGCATGGATTTTCCAAGAGTAAGGAAGTGTTTTGGAAGCTATGTCAATTAAAATTTGTGACATGACTATTAACAGGGTTCAGATCTGAGGGGCAGGATTATTGGGATTTTTCACTTTTAAAATTTTAAGTGATCTGCTTTTTAGGAGATTGCTGGATAGTTTGGGCTTCTGATAGTAGATACATCCATTATACTCTGAGAAGTTCAGTTTGTTTGAGGAAATTTATCCAGAATAGGCTCTTTTGTTATACAAAGTAAATTTATTAATTCATTAGTTGATCTTGAAGGAACATGTGAAGTCACAGAAAATCCAAATCCCGAAATTACAATCTGAGCAACTGATTTTGCAATTGCAGCGAAGTGTTCAATAGAACAGATGCCAATGTTTGCCCATGTTCAATCCTCTACCTGGTTGGATTCGCATTGGGTTTTACCTTCCTCTACCTGGGTGGATTCGCATTGGGTTTCTCCATGCCTCAACTCATGATAATAATGTTTGCATCTACCTCATAGAATTTTTGTGTAGATCTAATACAAAATCATTAAAATAGTATCTGGCACAGAGTAAATGCTCCATGAGTGTTAGCTATCCTTATTAGGAGTTCCGTTTAGTACCTGGATATGGAGTTGGCTGTGCTGGGCTCTTGAAGCTCTGGAGATGTACTTTCCTATGTGTAGATTTAGATAGTGTTCCTATGTGGTGATACTAAAATGCACTAACTTGAGATATGAGAAACCCACTCTACTGTGACTAACCTTCTGGTCCCATCTCAATCATTTTAAGGCAGAAAAATGAATGGGTCTTGAAATCAGGACTGACGGGATAGGGCAGAAAGAGCTTTTCTGAGTCTGGATTTGGAGCATAAAAGTTCTCGAAGAGTTTTATTGGTGGGCATTAAGTTGACCTCAACATCTGGAGCCTGACAAACTCCAGAGGGTCCCTGATACTAAATTTGGGGCTGTTGAACCTAAGAAAAATCATTGCCAATGGCAAAGTAAATCACTTTGGAGGTATACTGTGGTTATCCCCCAAGCATGCAGTAGAATTTTATTAACCACTAAAACCTTAGGTTTAGGGGGAATTCAAGGTGTTGGATTGGAGTTGTTACAGTTTTAATATTTGTTTAAAAGTTGACCTTTCATAGCCCAAGCCAATAAAGCAGGAAGACACTACACTATGTATTTCTGGTTATATTATACTGCATATTTCTATAATGTTTGGAGTACTTACAGCAAGTATAATGAAAGCATAACAGGAAAAAATATATTATTAATATAAAAATATTACATATTCATGTTTTAATCCATCTACAGGAATTACTACAATAGTTCTTATGCTTTGAGGTCAAATTATGTTAATTATTAACAAGCAGTACAAGCTAGAAGTTGTAGTATACCCAGAAAGTTCTAGAAAATGTGCCTTTAGGTTCTATAGTATTTTTTACAGCATCATTAATGGCTATGAATAAAAAGCTGAAGTAGTCATGTTTCAGTTACTTTTTAAAAATAACCCTTTTATTAGAAACTAACTTAAATAAGTGAACAAATTGTAAATGTATTATCAATGAATTATTACCAAGTGAACACACTCATGTAACTCTGCTCAGATCAAGAAATAAAACATCCTAGAAGCTACCATCTTGCCCTCCTCAGACACCATCCTTCTCTTCAAAGGAAAGAGTGGAATTGCTGGGTATGCATATGCAGTAGAAACAAACATAGTTATCCAAATAGCAATATATCTATTCTCACCAGAAACAT